TATATATATATATATATATATATATATATATATATAATATGTATAGACGCACACACGCACACATACAGACATACTTACGAATGATCTAGATTGAGCGTTTCGAATGCTATGAGAAATTTGGACTCGAATTAGCCGCCGATTACTGTGTATATGGGTCCTCTCATAAAGCTCTTAGTAATCGACATCCAACTATGCAAGCGTTCTCGAGTGCAGACAATACGCCGGCTTGTATATGCATATATCTATTTATATATTACCATATACGGATTTACATATCACCATATATGTATTTATGTATCACCATCTATGTATTTATATATTACCATATGATCTGAATACTTCTGTACAAACTCGTCTACATCATTAATGGCTGATCTCGTCTACGGGCTTTTGATAATATCAGACCGAGTCGAGACTACTCGCCTATTTTGCAACAGATTTTCCATGGATACCCAGTTTAAGTACACTGTTTGCGCGACAGCGGATGCACGCTAGTGTATCTTTAGAGCGGCAAATAGATGTACTATATCTATGAACTCGCCTCCAATCCACAGACGTTTATATCTTCATAATCATACCATTCTGACTATCTTGCCTCTGATCCACATACGTTTGTATCTTCATAGTTGTATCATTTTGACTAACTCGCCTCTGCTCCACATACGTTTGCGCCATAACTACACTGTGTGTACAGCGCACTATAAACAGTGGCAAAGGCCTCACTGTGAGTGTGACCGATTCAGATGCACAACAGCAGAGCAGTCCATCGTCCGGCCGTCTCTCCTCACGGACAGCCTTCCCTTTCTCATCCGATGGGGGTACGTAGGATGTGTGCATACAATCGAGCGTGTAGTAGGTGTCTGAGTGTGTTGTACTACATATAGTAGCACTCGTAGAACAAGGGGGCATGTTTAATTGTTGATGTAATAGCGTTATTGGTTATGGTTAAATACTTTGAATCCGTGGATTCGGGCCACATGTGATACTCTACTTTAGCAAATGAGATGTACGATACGCAATAGGGCTACACTTTTAGAAGTACGCCAGTGTTGTATGATGCTGAATTAATCATTGTGTTTACTATCATATACGCATAGCTGTTGGTGGTACGTAGAGCTGTTCAAATAACAGCGGGTAGCATGTAGGGCGTTTCAAAAAAATAATTGGAGACTCATACACTCGATACGACATAGTATCAGGTACATTGTACGACTGCACACAACGCGGATACTGAGACATCCTCAGTGTTGCTTTTAACCGGAAGTAGTATCATTGTCTTCAATCGGCTCACTCCAGGTCATTTCAACGAAGACAAGGGCACGGAGTCGTGCCTTCCTTATACACATACAAAGACACGAACCCATTGATACATACACACACACATACACACACACATACACACCCACACACCCACACACCCACCCACCCACACACCCACACA